ATGAAGCAAACGTATGTTTGCTATAGCAATCGACAACGTTACTTATAGTCGTATTTGAGTAGGTTTTCGATGCCAATGTCTGACCTGTCAGGAGAGCCAGTTGTACCCAATGCATTCAAGCTGGAGGCTTGCTCTAAGCAGGCTTGACAAAATGTTTTCGTTGGGCTCACCAAAATCCGGAAGACGTGCCTACCGAATGAGGAGAAATGGGCTCAGAGCAGATTTATGAATTTGGGGACGATATTCTACGCAATTGCAGTAAAATGTAAATCGCATTTACGTTTCGAAAATAGGAAACATTTGCAGTTGCCTATGCAATATTACCTCACGGCACATGAGAGAGATACAATGCATTAGATTCATACATTTACCTATGAATAGATAATATTGCAATTATACCGAGGATACTTTTGATGATAGTGAAAAAGACGCCAAGATTATTAGTAGAAGAGACTATCATAAAAGGGCATAACTTCAAAGTGGCCTGTAAGGTTTAACTTCTTCAAACTAACTTAGGAGACAACTATTTGGGAAAATTATTAATAAAATCGAACAAAGGGTGTATGAGAAACGAGGGAGGAATATGAGAATAAGTAATGAAAGGGTGAAAAATTGGAATAAGAAGCTTTTTCGAGGAGAATGAAGGATAAAAGAAAATAATATAGAATGACAAACAAAGAGAAGACAAGAAAGAGAGGAAATGAAGCAAAGAAAGAGGAATATGCTTGTAGAGGAGTGAACGACAAATGAAGGAATAAGGAAGAAATCACTGAATGAAGTAGAGGAGAAAAGGAATAAAAGGGGCTATATTATTACTCATACCACATATTGTTCTTCTGGCCATTAACAAATGCATGCAGGCTGCTCTTGCAAATTGACAGTTCATCTCTTCACAACCAGATGACCTGTTTTTGCAATTACTCTTTCCCGAACATGCTCACCTGCCGCAAATGTGTGTGTGTGTGTGTGTGTGTGTGTGTGTGTGCTAATATACTCGTTCGAAGGACCAATCGAGTCTGCAAAACGTCATCCAACCTCCAGACCGAGCTCTATGACTCTGGCATCCATAAGACGAGAGATTGCTTGGCGAAACCACATACAGGATGGTATGAATCGTCCGATTCGTCTAACACAGCTTTGTTCTGTCAAGCGAGCAGGTCTGCCCACGTGACCTATTGTCGTTCCACAGAATGCCTATGTTATAGGCCGGCAGCAGCCCAACAAATCGTGTGGTCCCCCGCCCCGACCGTCCCAACGACTGCCTGAGGAGTTGTGTGATTATGAAGATAAGGGTTGGCCCGGCTGTTGTGGGCAGGCTGGGAAAAAAGGCACCTGGAAGCTGTACTATGCAGAGTGGCAAATCGACTATTGCCATGGGCTGCATGGGGCTCCGAGATGAGAATGTCTGACCAATTTGTGCGGCCAGGACGTTGCCACCAGATGAGCCCCGTCGGAGGCCATTGTGCAAATATCCCCAACTTTCAACCCCGCGCTTCAGCCTCCCCCACCCTTTGCAAGGGTCACATTTGTCCAGGCAGCCGGTCATCGGTTTTATGGTACCAATTCGGTGTAGGCATGGAATACACTTTGCAAACTAACTGACATTATATTGGCAGGAGGATCTAGAGGAACGCACCTTTTCCGGAGTCCTTTGTATGCATGATCACTTCCAGACTCGGACCGTGGACTTGATACATTCCCAGACGTTTCGCCGGCATCGTAGTCGCTAACGTCGATGAGTCCGGCCGTTCTCAGCATCACACCTCAACTCGTCAAAGAGAAATGTGAGGCCGATCCTGTGAACAATTGTCTGCTCAACAGTTCCGGTATCTGCCCTTCTTTCCTATCCTACACCCTCGCACCACCCCTTCAATAGCACAATTTCTAAATGGTTAATCTAAACCTACTTGAAACGCATTCACACTCGTCACTGGTTTCGTTCAAGGTTTCGGTTTAATCTGAAATCCTCTCTCTTCAGGTCCTACCAGACTCCCATCTTGCTCCATAACACCTTTACCCAATCTGACTGTTTCAACGATTTCACCCTACCGCTGCCACTCTGCCTCAAACATTCGATAGCACGTATACTCCAGCATCGCTAAGCAAGCCCCTAAAGTCTGGATTATCAATTGGCATGGCAACCGAACTTGACGCTACAGATCCCCTTTCCACTCTGCCGCAAGAGTATTTTTAATTCATGGACCACGTCTATAAGTAAACGTATCTGCTGATGGTCTCTGTTGAATCTCCTGATCTTCTATCCCTAATGCCAAGTCTAGGACTTGTGTGCCGAGCCCAAAATATATGATTTTAATATGCTCATTGTAGACGTCTTCGCTTGGCTTTGGTTGGTCTCCTTGTAATTATACGAAGAAAAGTTGTGTTTCGAGGAATCTCTTGTTTCATAATTGTTGAGCTTACTTCCATCTCGAGTGGAAGTGTTGGGTGAAGAGATTTGAAGGTGGGTTCCACCAGAAGACGACGACGGATTCCTCTTGACCAGCTGTCGATTGTCTTTACTGGAACATTCATGCTGACGCTGTTCCCGAGGCAATCTCCTTCGATTCCGTCAAATGACGAACATCATCAGAGCAAGATATCATCGTCACAACAAATTCCTAAAAAC